AAAAAAAAAAAAAAAAAAAGGTACTTGTTTTGTAATTTGTAATACTTATAATATGATAGGTATATTCAGTAGAGAATAATTTGTGACAAAAGTTTTTATTTTTTTTTGTAAAAGAATAGAAAAGAAATGTGTTTGGAAAAGTCACCAAGACTCAAGCTCCTACCCACTCAATTTGAAATCGCTATATTGACACTTAAATCTATATAAGTGTTAATAATTACGATATCGGTGTTGTGTTGTTCACACTGTTCACAGGTCGCCTGGCTGAGAGTGGATACACAAACGATACTGTCCATACAGACACTCGTGGTGACGAAAAACGACCGAATGGAGGTAACGCACACAGACTACAGGGTGTGGAGGCTGCATATTAGAAGCGTACGGCAGAGTGACCGTGGGTTTTACATGTGTCAGATAAACACGGACCCTATGAAGAATCAAATCGCGTATCTTGACGTAGTCGGTAAGATTAATCGAATGTAATTTCAAGTTTAAACACTTTTACAACCTAATTATTACTATATTATTCAAAACACATAGGTATTATACAATGAATAGATTAGGATCCAAAGTAAAAATTACAAGTCTCTATTATATTCTCATAAAGCTACATTAAATTTGATATTTTCTCCTTGGTCCTTGGGAAAATCCATCTCTAAGACTCTATATAACTATATAAATATATAATATTTTCGTAATATATGAAAATAAAAGACTCTCAGTGGCTTGAGTTAGGCTGATTTTTAGGGGTAGCAAAAATTACTTTGAGCGTGGAACTTGCATCTTCTAACTATTTAAATTATGATTTACATTCTATTCGAATGGATTGATAGTGTTAAATAACTACGTATATATAGATAAACCTTAAAATTATGTGTTATGCATTTATTATAATATCATATATTAATTTTAACGAATTCCGTGAAAAGTTATTTTTAAATGTATTACATATTTTCTTGAACAGAAATGTACAACAAACAATTTATCAACAATATTTTAATACTGCGTAACATTCCTGAGCTTAAATTTTTAGGTGGTGTAAATAGGACAAATTGCTTGGAAATCCGAAATCGTTGAAAAAAATTTTTACTATAGTAAAAATGAAAAAGTCAATCGAATTAAAACAATTACGAAATTATGACTTTAAAAACTAATCTAAAATTGTAGYATGAGCGAAGATAATAATTATTATTGTCACGTTAATGCAAAGTGCGACGGTTGAAATTGTCGTTATTTCATAATTATTATAAATTATTAAATCTTAAAAACCCATCCTGACATCATGTAAAACGTCGCATCATTATATTACCATGGTTATGCATTTATAACTACTGTTCCGTAACATTGCCGAATATAATATGCACATCATATGGCTCATCATGTATAATGTTTACCTAAGATTTTTCCATTTGAAATCAAAAGTCATTACAAGCACCTCCCATACAACCCAAAGGTAATTCCCAGGACCAATTATATGCGTTAATTATTCTTGATTTATTTTTCTGTACATCATGATAGCAGGTGTTTTCCTAC